GTGTTCTGCCTTATGCAGCCCAGGAGGCTGGTAGTGTTTTTTCTTGCTAGAACACATTGCTAGCTTGGCTCCCAGCCTTAGTGTCTGGTTGATTCCTCCCCAACTGCAGGACTTGGCACTTTGCTGCAATTCATGAGGTTCCGGTCAATCAGTTTCTCCAGCCTGCCCAGGTTCCTGTGGATGGCAGCACATCCATCTCTTGAATGAGCCACTCATCCTTGTTTTGTATGATCTGCAAACTCACTGAGTCTGCTGTGCCCCAACACTGAGGCCGTTAGTGAAGATGCTAAACGGTAGCGGACCCAGCATTAAGCCCTGGGTCACACTAGGTTTTGGCATCCAAAACCATTGCTGTAGATCACAGATCTCTGAGCCTGGCAGTTCGGCCACTTTTCAGTCCACCTCACTGTCCACTTATCTAACCTGTAATTTATCAGCTTGCCTTTGAAGATTTTGTTAGAGACAGTGTTAAAAGTCTTGCTAAAGTAAAGATAAATAATTTCTACTGGTCCAGTGTGGGAATTAAACTGATGGGGAAAACTGTCCTCCAGCTCTGGACAGAAATTCTCACATGATGCAAAAAGACTGTTCACCATATGTAGCAGAGCATTCTTCCAAAGATCTCAAAATCCTTCTCAGAATGAATTAAAATGCTGTCCCTCTTCAAGGGACTGGGTAAGCAAAGCACAAGTCAGTCAAGTGTGTTGCTTAAAGGAGATCTGTGAAGTTGAACTCGTGCAACAGTACCTCAGGGTCTGGTAAGACAGCTGGTGGAGGAAAACTGAGGAGGGAAGGAGGAAAATGGACACCTCTGCCAAGACAGGTACTGCAAGAGACCTGCCAAAAGATTTTTTTAAAAAACACAACCATTTGCCCTTTTGGCCAAAGAACTGAGACTGTTTGTTCTTGAGGTTGTTTAATGTTGAAGAAAGACATTTCCCAGCAGAATTCAGGAAAACTTTATCTGTACATCTCTTGGGATGTTCGTGCTTTTGCATCTGATAGTAGAAACCTTACTCTAGTTGATGTTGTTCTACTTCTTTTGGTTATTCCAGACAGCCCAAATTCCAGACACAAAGGTGATCCTGTCCCTACTTGGGGGCAGAGAAAGCCATGCAGCAGCATTCCCATCCCTGGGGATGATGGATCATCTTGAAGTTTTAAGGATCAGCAAAGAAATCTGGGTTTTTTTAACATATTTACAATTGCTTTGCTGTGGGAGATTAATGCCTTTCAATTCTTCTTTTCTTAGAAGAGCACAAAAGTCAGTGGTAGTCTAGAGCAGGAAAAGTTATTAGAAGACTAAAAAGCTTTTCTGACTGAGGTGATGTTTTCTGCAGCAGAATTTGTAGCAAAGTCTAAGAACTGCAAGGCAAGACTGGTGTGTGGCATGTGGGGAAAAGCCAGAGAGCACAGAATTTGGAAACAATGAGAGGTTCATCCTGGCCCCATGCAGCTCGTAGTTCACCTGGAAGTATCTCCCTGGCAGTGCTAGAAATGTCTGGCAAACCTGCATGTTTTTGTTTGCTTTCTTGCTGAATGCAATTGTTATTCCATTGAGGACACATTTAGGAAATCCTAAAAATTAATAAGTGAAAAAGGGAAGAGATGCAGATTTCCCTTCAGTAGTGTTATCTTTCTAGTTTTCTTGTCTACATAAATGAGACATCTAAAGATGTCTGGTGAGGATCTGATGAGATGCCAGGAACTCATAGTAAACCATATGCTTCCCAAATTGCAGGTTGGGTTGGTTTTTTGGTTTTGGGTTGGTTTTTGTTTTGGTTTGGTTGGGTTTGTTTGGTTGGTTTTTGGTTGTTAGGTTTTTTTGTTTGTTTTGTTGTTTGTTTTTTTTTTTAGTTAAACATGAGAGATAGGGTATTATTAAAGTCAGAAAACATAAAAAATGCCAAAACCAGGTAGCAGCTGTCTACGCTGAGGAAAGTTTATGAAAACTGAAACTGAATAGAGTCATTGGCATGGACACATCTAAGGGTCAAAGGAGATAAATCCATATGTGGAGAGGTAAACTGAGGCCCTCCAGTGACAAATGAATTTTTTATAAAGAGGGAGAAAGAAAAATAAAGGAATATTGAACTGGAGGCAGTTCCTGTGAGAGGAAGGCTTTCCTGGGAGCTGGGTCATTTTCCCTCATCTAACATCTCAAGGACTTTGGGTGTGCTGGACTGGAACAACTAAGCATTTGGTCATTAAGTATAGGCTAGAATTACTTTTATATTTATTTTACTTGCAGCTAATTGCTTTCAAAACTTTGTCTGACCTTGATTAATGTTTTCTTTTTAAGCTTGATGGGGGATGTTCTGAGAAGGGAGTCATAAAAGGATGGAAAATGGTAAACATTCAGGAGAGCTACAGTAATTGTGTATTTGCCATTTTCCTCTCTTCACACAAAGCCGAGCATTTTTTGTGGTATGAAATTTAGGGAGGCTTTGAAAGGGCAGAGTATGGCTGAGTATGCCCCCTTACAGTGCTGAGGTGTTCCTATTTGAAGTCTCTGTGAGTTTCTGTGGTGACGCTGGGTGGTAACATGGTGGTGGTGCTGCTCTTCAGCAGTGTCCTTTGACGCTCTCTCGGGAAGCTGTGGATCTACTGTCCACCACGCCAAGCATGTTAGCACAGAAAGGCTTTAATGTCAAACTTTGGGACTCTGCGGGGAAACAGCCAGAGAAGTTGAGCACAACAGTGTAGAGAAAAAGTATCTCAAGATGTAGGCATTTGCCTTTCAGAGCTGCTGCGTGGGATGGCTCCTGCGCTGCATCAAAAGAGATGTGGCCAGAAGGTCGAGGGAGGTGATTCTGCTCCTCTACTCTGTTTTTGTGAGACCCCACCTGCAGTGCTGCATCTTGCTCTGGGGTTATCAGCTCAGATAGGACATGGACCTGTTGAAGTGGATTCAGAGGAGGCCACAAAGATGACCAGGGGACTGGAACACCTCTCCTATGAAGATAGACTGAGAGAGTTGGGGTTGTTCAGCCTGGAGAAGAGAAGGCTCCAGGGAGATGTTATTGTGGCCTTCCAGTACCTAAAGGGGGCTTGTAAAAAGGAGGGAGAGGGATTTTTTTATATGGGCAGATAGTGACAGGACAAGGAACAATGTTTTTAAACTGAAAGAGGGTATGTTTATGTTAGATATTAGGAAGAAATTCTTTACTCAGTGGGCAGTGAGGCACTGGAAGAAGTTGCCCAGCTGTGGCTGCCCCATCTCTGGAAGTGTCCAAGGCCAGGTTGGATGGGGCTTTGAGCAACTTGGTCTAGTGGCAGGTGTCCCTGCTTATGGCAGGAGGTTTGGAACTAACTAGATGATCTTTAAGATCCCTTCCAACCCAAACCATAGTATGATTCTGTGGTCAGGAAGCACAGTGCTGATCTTGGCATGAGGACATCAGTTTCACTCTCAACTGGGCCATGCAGCAAATCTGTGCCCTGGTTCGAGTGCAGTATGTCAGCTTTGGTCTGCTCCACCCAGGGGGAGGTACAGGTCCCCAAACAAGGTCAGCCCTATATCTTACAGGGGAATATGATTGAATCAGCATACAGCAACTGCGATTTAACAAGAGCCCTGTTCTTCTGGTGCTAAGATAATGACAGCTTTGGTGTCTCCCTTAGCTAAGCACATCCTCACTTGCTCCCACTCAAATCACTGGGGTGCAGAAGATTTCAGTGGGTGACCACCTACGGCCATTGTAAATGATAATGCTTTTAGTTTTCAAAACAGGGTTTTTTTCCCATTTTCTAGACACATTATAATTAATATTTCATGGCAGTCTCTAGAAACATAGAAAAGAATTTCTGGTCTTGGTTTAATAAAGCATATAAACAGAACTGCTGTGCATGGGGAGCTAAGTGTTTCCAGGTGTTCACTAACACTAGGGCAAAGCATAAGGTTGTGTGATATTTATCTGATGGGGAGCAGAATCTCCACCTTGCTGAGAATGGATATTTTAAAGGAGATGAATGCTCCCCATGGGGAGCAGAGTCATCAAAGCCATATCTACAGCAAAGAGCTGCCAGTCCTCTTCCTGAGCCATAACACTTGCCTTGGTATAGTTCAGAGTGACTTGTGGCTCCTCGCTGACCTTGGTGCAGCCGTGCATCATGGCACCAGTGGAGTTTCTCTCCTTGTGCATACACATGCTGGAAGCAATTCATGGAACAGCATATTGTTTTCACCCTCAGCAGCTCAGTTGGCTGTGAGTTGCTCTGCTATAGGGTATTTTGGTTATGACAGTAAATATCTTCCCTCCAACAGTGCAGGTGTTTCCATGCACAGCAGCTTCCACAACCACTTTGTAAAGGTATTGTGAACATTATTCCTGCTGACTGTTGTGGGTGGATTGCAACTGATCCCTGGTGAGCTGCTGCACAGCTGCTGAGGGAAGTATAAAATGATAGCTGTCCGTGAGCCGCTGCTGCAGGATCCTCCTGAATCTTTAATTCATCTCACATCTTAATGGCCCATCCCACTGTGGGATGTTCTTAGTCCATCAGACTTCAGACTAGAGGCCAAACTCACTACTGAGCTGAGTTCCTTCTCTTCCGAGCCATTGAGAATTTATGCAAACAAGGTATCAGGGGCTTTTTGTTCTGACCTGTGGCTTGAATCTTTTGGGATCTTGTCCTTGGGATTTCATGTACCTGCAGAAAGATTCACGATTAGTTTCTAGCACCTTTCTGTCATCACAGTCCTTTGAGTTCTCACACAGCGGTCTGTGTGTGTCCCTTACCATCCTATCACTGTGCTGGAGTAACACCTTCACATGAGTGATTTACCAGGTGTTTTAGAGAAAACTCATCCAAGAGTCTCTCTGGCACCTCTATTTTTTCCATCTGGTTTGATGCCAAAAAATTGGAGAAGAAACTCCCTAGAGTCATTTAGAGTATAGAAAAAGCACACACGTTTATTGCAGCACCGGGTGCATCGAAAAAAATCCCAAAGAATGCACCTCAAATCACACAGGTTTTATAACTTTATACCATCCTCTAATTACAGATTCAAGGATTACCTCACCCATCCCACCTCATTTTCTCCCACAGTACGCCCCCCTCGAATTGCTTGTTTTTCTCTTGACTCCTTGGTTCTGGCATGGTTTCCTGCCTTCTGGACCTGGTTCAGGGCCTAAATCCTGTTTCATCTTCTTTCTCACTTTTATCAGTCTCTTCACAGGTGCAAGGAACCATCTCTGTTTTATCAAAATTCTGCCTGTAACGAATCTTCACAAGAAATTACGAACTACGCGCTTTCCCTTGAGAACTTCCAACCTTACTACGATACATGAATTCTACGGCTAACACTCTTCCTTTAAAATGCTTAGTCTAAAATACATACATTCTATGGCTAACAATTTCTAATAAAGTACTTAATTTTACAGCTAAAGATTAAATTTTTGAGATAGTGGCTTATTGAATAATTAAGGGCTGTTGCTTCATCTTGCACATCTGCTTCTGCCTTTTCAGGTCAAATGAGAGGCGACGTCTCACACATCCCCAGGCTGTGGGATCCACACTGACTGTGTGGCCTGGTACCACAGTGGGGAGAGGCATAAGCAAAAGTTTTTGATGTATCAAGGAAAGCTTTGTAAAGCATACAAGGAATGGTGCAGAGCTGTTATTACTGCTGGACTACTGTGGTGGTTGCACCGCTCTCAGTAATCTGTGTTTTTATAGGTTTGATATTCTCCCCAGGGATAGTTATGCTAAACCTCTAGCTGTGTAATGGAAACAGGTTTGCCCACCTTTTTTTTAAATCAAGAATATCCAATCTATTAAACATTAATTTGTCTCCTTTGTGGTGAGAAAAGTATGTGACTTGGGAATGCCCTAAATGTTGGAGCATGATTTATAGCTTTGCTTTCAGGTGGGGTACCCAGAGCACCTTGAAGCAACCACTGCCGGGGCCCAAGGTGCCCGCCCTGGGGTCACCACCACAGGAGTGTGCTCCATCACCATGTGACTTTAATCACTGCAGACTTCAAGCTCACACGTAAACAGAATTTGGTTTTATTGCTCTGTGAGGACTTTAAATAATTCATACTAGAGAGAGCAAAGGGAAGAGCTATGCTGTTTGTACCATACTCTAACTGCTGAATGCACAGTGGCCTTTCAAATGAAGCCCCACGTTTAGCCACGGTTCTCTTCTGGTGCAATGGTTGGTGAACCCCTCTGTTTCTCCATCTGCTGCAGGAGGATGAGGGTGCGGTTCCCCCTGTGATATTGCAAACATCCCACCTGTGGGGAAGGAGGTGAATATTCTCTGAAATAAAACCTTGGCCGAGTATGAAACAGCAAGGATCATGCTGAAGGTGAGAAGCATGGTGAATGTTTTAAAAGGGAAGACCTGGCTGTAGATCCCGTTCACCAGGGAGCAGACTGGGTAGCAGATGACAGGGGGGATGCTCAGGGCAGGCTCCCCTGTTAGTAGCCTCAGCAGGAGCCCAACCAAGGATCCAGCAGCTAAGCCGTAGGTTTTGGTGCTGGGAGTGAAGAGAGCACAGCGGAACTGGGGGAAGAGGAGGGCATGCACCAACTCCCCACTGAGGAACCAGAGGTCATGGACAGAGCTGGAGTAAAAAGCCAGACTGGCAGCCCCAGCCCCAAACACCAACATGGAGGTCCTCATAGCCCATAACACCTCTATCTCTGCAGCCTGTAAAACAGAGATTGTAGCATTAAAAGTCATGGCATTTACTGGTGGGATGGCCAGCACTGCCCTGTCCTGGGCTGGTGCTCACCAAGCCCTTGATGCTTTCAGGCACTACTTGCTACCAGAAGCCACCCAAGGCAGGCACCCCTGGAGATGGAGCTGCCCTCTGGACTTTTAAGGGTCATGGTTTTATGCTTTTTCCATTAAGATGTTAATCCAAATTTTATACCAGTCATATTAGAATGAGCAAAGCTCACCAATATGGATATTGGTACCCCTACCAAGGATATGAACACCCTTGACTTACGCTTGGAGCTCTAGCTCCAGGAATTAGTTCAGAAGCTGAAGGACTGATACGTCCAATCACAGACTGGATTAGAAATAGTCTTGAAACAAGACTGTCTTTCCTGACGCCAAAACTGCTGAATGCTGCAACCAAGTACCTTTTTCCTCAGGATTTTCCTGTAGATATTGTAAGCAAACATGGAGCCAGCAGAGAGAAGGGCTGAATCAGCAGAAGACATTGTGGCAGCAGCAATGGCTCCCAAGCCAGCAATGGAGATACATGCTGGGCAGAGATAGTGCAAAACAAGTGGTAGTATCATTGCCGATTCCCCTCACTTGAGCAGACTTGGAAGATTATAGCTTGTCTGATTCCAGTCTTTTAAACAAAACAAGGAAAAGTCACAATAAATCCTTCATGGACATTTCTGCTGCCTTTGAAGTTGCCTTATCACAGTGACCAGTCACAGCAGGGCTAAGAGACCCACTTGGTATTTTAGGACTTAGATTAATTTTTTGGGTTCTTTTGTGATCTCTTGGGATTCCCCTTAGCATACTGCAGCTCTCACTAGATCAAAGATTTTCCTTTTCCTTTGCAGCATCTCTAGATACAGCTGTGCTTTGTGTGTTTCCAGAATTGGGATAGTTAAAGGTCAACCTCTAGACCTGGGTCACAGGAGAAGGGTGTTTTGCTCTGATGTCCCTAGTGACAGATGAACTCGTGACTTCAACTGATTTCCTTAAATGTTCAGCAATATGTCTGCTCTTCAACCCTTGCTCACCAACACAGGACTGATCCCCTGGGTGGAGGCTGTGAGTTTACAGGACTGAACTTCTTGCTTCCTTCAAGCGAGTTTTCTTCAGAATCTTGTTAACAATCTGTAGTAATATTGGTGGGTCTTACATGCAAAAGGCATTAATAGAAGGAAGCATAAGCTTTCTTCTAAAATAGTATCATACAGGGTTTTACAACTTTCCTCAACAAAGTCCATGAAAAGTCATATTATCATAATGAAATAGCTTTAAACAGGTCTTGGGACTGTTTAAATGTCTTTAGGTAGTTGTGCACTGAACCTCAGAGGGCTCCATATTTCTGGTAGAGATCACTCACCTTGGTGGCCAGGGCCACAGGACTGGGTAATTTGAAGTCTAAATCAGGACTTCTTTGGATCCCATTTTAATCACTTTTGACAAAAGCATGTTAATTACTCAGAGACAACAATTAGTTTTACCTGTTGATGCTGCGACTGCACCAATGAGCACAGAGAGGATGGCCATGGCAAAGATGTAGGAGATGAGCCTTGTCTGTCCTGTCGAGGCAGTGGAGAGCACCCTTTGGAAGTAGGTTTGCCATGGGATGCTTCCAAGCACCTGAAATATTCAGATGTTACCAGTGGTACTCACCAGGCTGCTGGCTGCTGTAGGGCATCATCCATCCATTCAGATGGATAATAATCTTTAGTGTTATAAAATTTTCATTTCAAATGCATAAATGTTGCCCAGCTCTAACTCTTGAGGATGGTATTTCTTATGGTTGAGGATGTCCTTTTCTTTTGTTTTCGTTCTGATGAATGTAAAATTTTAATGGAAGCAGGTTAATGGTTTGGCAGACTGAGAAAGCTGAAAAATAGGTTGCTTGCAATAGTGAATCAGGTGCTTGGAATAGTGAATCAGGCACAGAAGAAAGGAAAGTGAATTTTTTCAGGAATACCACTTTTGTAAATAAATCTACACAAACTTAGCTAGATTATACTCTACAGAGTAGAGACCTCCCATAACCCTAAAGTATGACAGTGCATGCTGAGACAATGATAGTCAAAGAGCCTTCAATATCCAAGATGACCCTCATTGTTGCTCCTGCAGAAAAGAACAGCAGTCAAGTATTTTAAGACGGATTTAATATGTGCAGAATACAGAATAAATACAGCTATGTTATTTTTTTGATGCCAGCACACCACATTACATAAGAAAGGCAGTCTACAGAGAGTGCAATGAGTGAGAATTCGGGACAGCCCATGTTCGCTTTCTGCTCTTGCTGGTACATTGCTGCGTGGCGTTTGCCAAGGCACTTTGCCTTTTTTTGTCTGCTCTCCCACAGGCAAGAAGAAGGTACAAACTCATATTGACAGACCTCTCTATTATATTATAACGAATATATACTACTGTCATTTGTTTTAAACCTAAAAATATGTTTTCCAGGAATAAGAAATGGTTGTTTCTCTCACAAAAGGAGACATGAAGCACAACCTTCCACAGCTTAATACGACACAATTCCCAAATGTGTATTATACTCTGACAGTTGTGCCACACTAACAAATATAATAGAAAAGTAAGTATTTACCCAGAGATGCCAGGATAGCTGCAAATCAGACCACCTTTCTTAGCACTGGTGGAATGAAGAGTAAGCTTCCCATCATGTTCCCGTAAGTTTCTTGTATGGGGTCCATCACTGTCACATAATTCTTGGATCTCATTGGATTTACAAAGAAGTAACCACCTATCAGAAGTGATGACATGTTTTATATTCCAGAAAAAAAAAGTAAGAATAATATGGTATTTGTGTATCAGACCCATATAGTGACTGTGGAATTCATATGTAATGGACCTTAGAGAATGACGCAGCCAACCAGACACCGGGGCCTAAATTCACTTGCCTAAACATGGGGGTTTGTCCATCTGGGAGGTCCCAGATTATAAAGATATCTGTTTACAGCTGACAGATACAACCATCCACTTTGGCACACCTGCATCTTTCTGGAGGCCTGGTAGGTCCCCCTAGGGCACCCCAAATGGCATAAGATAGCTGTGTGACTGTAACAGGAACTTAGCTTGGAGGATTGCCACATATAACCTTCTCCCCATCCCCAATGACCTACCAACATGAGACATAAAGTTTTCTGAACTGCATCCTGTGGAAAATGTCAGTAGGGAGAGACTCATATTTGGCTAAAAAAGAGACAAACTTTTGTCCTTGGCCATGTGAGGCAGCATGTTGATATATGTTCTTTTTCCGATTACATTTTCGTTTTGGTGGCTTCATTGCCTCTTCCCAGAACTATATTATTTTAATCTGTGCATTGAGCTGAGTCTCACCCACCTTCATCTAAATATTAGACTTCAGATGTGCAGCCATCTCATTTAAACCAAAGAATACGTATAGTGCCTAGCCCTGAAGCCAACAGGACTGCTTGTCTAGGCACTGCTGACCTGAGCAAAGATTGCAGGATCAGACCTGCACTCCTCAATTTCATTAGTAAGAATTACTCACATTAGCAATGCTTGCAATATATTTCCAAGCCTGATTCATATTCACGTCAGTTGGACTCCTTTCTTTGACTTGAGAATAAAGGTCATTGTTATTTTAGAAATTCCTGTGTAAGGTCTGCACAGGTCTCCTTGCTTTCATCATACTGTGTCCCTAGAGAGTTATGGTATAACACAGTGTGGCCTGGAAGAAACTTTGTTCTTGGCAAGACAGCTGAACCTCAGTGTGAGTTCAATAATTCTCGGAGTTAGAAATGGCAACTCAGATATAGAACACTGCACACTTAACTTAGTTACAACACAGTAGTGACCAGCTGTGAAGTGGGATAAGCTGGATGCACTACACATTCGTCCTGAGATGACACTACTCAGAAGAATGTACTTTAGAGCAAAAATCATGATAGTGTTATTTCATTCCACAGAAATTTCAAAGAAAAAATAAAAGATAACAATATTCTCAATAGTCTGTAAGTAAGAGACCATGTTAAAAAAGCAATATGCACATAGCCACACTCTTCTAAACTTGCCAGGTAAGATTTTTGTCCTGTAAGTTGCTCCAAGCAGGCAAAACTCTACACTAGCTGCAAGCTACCCTAACTTGTTATGCTTCAGTTTAGAGGATAGCATTAAAAATGCTTATTCTGGTTCTATGGGAGACTGAAGAATCAAAACTCACTTTAAAATGTACTTTATACTCTGTTAGATATCTTAATATGCTCATATGATATATTTTTAAAACTTATGTGTCCTAATTGCATGAATTATTTACCAACAACAAGGGACAAGGCAAATCCCACAGGTGCCTGGACCCACAATAATCCTTTTGAAGGCAGGTAGACGATTTCAGCTGTGCCATTGATATATGCTCCTCCAACCCGTGTGGCTATAAATGTGGAAGATGAAAAGATAAGAATGGCAATACATATCCTCAACTAGTCTTGTAGAACACTGTGAGAGCTTGTAAACCTTTTTCTCATACAAATATTTAATCACACTTCTATTTTCTTTTTTTCTCTCATGCTGAGATGTGCTGATGAGTTTAAACATTTAGAAGCAATTTGAATATATTAATTTTTAATTATTTTTTTTTCTCAGAGGAAGGCTTTTGCTACAGCAAACAGAATTGCCTTTGTTATTCTGCCATGACTGATTGACCATCCTTCATGAGCAGCACTTACATGGTCTAAGAAAATGGACATTAGAGAAAAAGTATGCAAGCAGAATTTGCAGTCAGAAAACAAACCTACAACACTGGCTGAAGTGTCTTAGGCAAATACCATTTGGGAATGCCTTCACAAAAAAACAGGTCAGGGAAGCAAATTTCAGATGATGCCATGCAGCAAAGAGAGTAAAGGGGAGCAGAGGGCAGCAGTCAGTGGGGAAACATTTTTTCTTTAGGAGAGAGTCCAATGGTCACCAGGAGTGGCAATTTATTCCACACAGAGCTAGACTGTTCCAGGAGTAAAATTGTTCTGTAATGCTGGATAACAGAAACTGGTTCAAGAATAAGACGACAGTTGTCCTTAATGAAAAGTGTCATATTCTTCAGTCACTCTTAAATTAAACTCTTTAACTCTTAACTAAACTCTTAAATTAATCTCTTTAATTTAAAAGCATCTACATAAATATTAGGTTCTGCTCAGTGTGAAGAGGTTTGGAAGAATCCATCCCAAAATGATTCATGAAGCTGTAGCCTTTCAAAGTCACACTTAGGTAAAATCTACCCTGACATTAAAGAAGTTAACTTGCTTTGAAAGAAAAGTCACCCAGTTCTATGTAATACAAGTGCTTTAAGAAGAAATTTGAAAAGAAAACTTACCAGTTGCAGTAAAAAATCCAGTGAAAACATTTATATTCTGGCCTCCAACTATGGCCATTTCTGTTGGGTTCCTGTTCTGCTGATCCTTTTTGCTTTTCCAAGAAGCCCGAATTCCAGCAGCTAAAGTTAATATAAAAAAAACACTCGTAGATACTAAGCGTGGTATATTTAGAGCCATTTTCTGTTGCTTAATTTATACCACAGAGAGGAATGATGTCATGATGATAGTATTCTTTGAGTCCACAATCAGAAAAATATAGAAAAAAGTCAGTAAAAATAGTGCTGCCTTGTAAAGAAACTGCTGAATATTTGCTGTACTTTGCAAAGGGAGATGCAGTATGAAACAGAGCAATAAGCCCTAAAGTCCTGAGAACTTGATGCAGAGTTTCTGTCTTTGGAGGAGTATCGGCAGTTCTGCAGTCTTCCCCCTTCTTCACAAGATATGCAATCTTATTTTGTGGGGAGCAGAGATTAAGAGCGTAGTAATTAGTGTAGTGGAACACTGATGTGAGGGTTAATAATAGCCTGTCTTAAAGTGAGGGAAATGGTATGTTTTGTATTGTATGAAAATAACGCATATCTCTCTAGGTTCTAGGCACAAGGCTAACGCAGAAGTTAGGGCTAAGAATTTATCTGTTTAAAGTTGAGTGAACTACACTCTCAGTAAATAAACCTAGGAAACAGTAAACAATTTACCACTGACCAATGGAAGGAACTGCATGCTGATACTCAAAGCAGGCATGTTATCATTCCTTTGCTGGAAACCAGTAAGAAAGCAAGGTGGTGTTGTACTCCCCAGTGAAACTATAGGAAGGATACAGACTTTTAAACTACTTTGTGAAGCTCCCTTTAAACAGATATAATTCTGGAAAAAAGCCTCATATGTGCATTAAGGAATTAAATTAGTTATAGAGTAGCCATACCAATATCCTTTTAGTTGCTCTGTGAACCATTATCATCTGTCAAAGTATGGTTCTTCATAACCAATTCTATGTAAAAACTGCCGTATTTAGGGCATATGTATGGCTTTTCTGGATACCTGCGTTCACCTGTGGAGTGGGGGACATCACAGATTTCTTCTTCACAGACGCACTCTGAGTGAAAGGCCAAACCTTTAGAAAGGTTTTCTGCAGTGTGCCATCTCCTGCAGACATCCAGGAGTAGCTGTGCACAGAAATGACAGTGGCACAGGCTAAGCATGTCTCATGAGCAGGACATGGTAGGAACATGTGGGCACATCGGTGATGGCTGTGAGAAGTGAGGAAAAGTGCAGGAACCCCATGGTGTCTGTGACACCTTTCTGTACAAGGGGAAATAAGGATTTTGGTAAGATTATGCAGTGGTCTGGTTGGAAGTGTTTACAAAGAAGAGAAAATTAAAAGAGATTAAAAACCTGGCAACCTTATTTATCCTGCCTTACAAGAAATATTCCTTTATATTTATAATCAAATGCTGTTTTAACTGAGTAATGGTTTTTAACATTGACCCAATTATCTAAGTACAAAAAGGGACACTGTGAATTTAAAGGTGCATTTTTCTGAGTGGTAATTAGAAACACTTCCTTCCACCCTAAATGAACCTGCTACAAGATCCTAGAAACTGCATCTGTCAGTGGCAATGGAATCATTGGTTTCTCTGGTTTGTCTCCCTTTATCAAAATGGACGTTTCAAAAACTTTTAAAACATTGTTTACACACAGATACATGCTAAGCTTTTCTTCTATGAGCAAATGTTTTACAGCATATTTCCTAGGCAGGCAAAGGATAGGGCTGCGGGTGCATGTGGCTGAAGGTGCACTCAGCCAGGTCTCGGCCTGCTCTGCAGTCAGCCACTCCTAGGAGGACATACCTGACATTGCACCCTTCATGGGGGGGTCTACTAAATTACACATGTCCAAAGCAAGATTTGAATTTGTCCTTTGACATCTGCAAAGATTGTCTGCTTTTTTTCATGTCTTGGGGGAAAAAAAAAATAGTGGCAGGAAGGGAAACTTCATTTAAAGACCAGAGAGGTGGAGGGCAGATGTAGTGGGACAAAACGTAAGTAAAAACATTGCACAATGGGATGAAGGAGACTTAGAGAAAAAGGATGTGTAAGGTAGTTCATCTGAATCTGGAATGTTTTTGATGATATACAGTGCATGGAAGAATTAAAAAAGCACAGGCTTATACCAAGAAGACCAGTTCCTCAATGAATCTGTTGTTGTACTCTTTTGCCGTTAAATGACTCTCAGATAAGGAAAAAAATGAAGAAATCTCATCAATTAAGAGTTTTTTGAGGCGGGCTTCACCTTCCCGCTCATGATGGGGGGCTGCAGCTTATTATGCCAGCTGCTGCACCGCTTGCTTCAAGCTCCTTGAGTAACCCATGGGGAGAAATATGCAATTTTAGGGCGTGATTTACTGACCTGTTTAGGTCTTGTGAGGCAGGACAGGGTGAGGGCAGGTCTCAGATTGCTGAACTCAGGGCTACTTTTAGGAGCAGTGTCACTGTACACATTAGATGTTTCAGAGCTTGATTTGAATTTTCACAAAGAGATGAGCATGTGTCACCTGAGATGCTCTAAAGCCACTGAGATGTCCACAGTCCCTGTGGGAGACGCATGCCCCTCTGGAACAGCAGCTGGGATATTCTGGTGTATCTCCAATGGTTCTGAGAACTTACTTGCAGGATACAAGTTCCTGTCAGTATCTGAAGGGGCTACAGGAAAGATGACAAGGGACTTTTTACAAGGTTCTGTAGTGATAGGACAAGAGGTAAGGGCTTTAAACTGAAAGAAGGTGGGTTTAGATTAGATATTACAAAGAAATTCTTTACTATGAGTTGGTGAGGCACTGGAACAGGTTGCCCAGAGCAGTTGTGGCTGCCCCATCCCTGGAAGTGCTCAAGACCAGGTTGAATGGGGCTTTTAGCAACCTGGTCTAGTGGGAGGTGTCCCTGCCCATGGTAGGGGCATTGGAACTAGATGATCTTTAAGATCTCTTCCAACTCAAACCATTCTGTCATTCTGTAATACTTAGCTGAGTTCTTACTCTTACTCCTTATCAGTTGACCTGGGTAGAACAAACTATGGGTTGTTGATAAAAGTAGAGGAATGCCTGAAAGAAAGCGAGGAGTGCTATGTACCAGTGAAGTTTTCTATCTCTGGTGGAAATGACCTGCACTGTAGTGAGCACTAACATATACTTAGCTTTGAATCTAACTGACTGGAAGAAATAAAGAGGGACAAAGCAGTGGCCTCTGGGCCTAAAACAAAGCCTTTGCCCTGCCTTTATGGGTTAAATGTGCTACAGTATGGCTGATGGGCTTTAGATGGCTCCCTGTGGCCCTTGGGCTCAGGGTAAAAAGGGTGCTTTGGGGTAAGAGATGTTCTGCGGGGAATGGCATTTCTGAAG